CTACGCGCATATAATGCCCGGATAATATTCACATATTTCTCAGGTACCTTTGCTGAGCAGACGGTTCCAAAGTGCACGTCTATCCACCAGATCGAATGCACCTTTGATGTCGAGGAACACGACAACGGTGGGCCGCCAATATGTGTGACGGTGCTCCAACAACTGACGCAAAGTGAAGATGTGGTCAATGCAGCCATGACCCCGACGAAACTCGGCTTGCTCTTCACGAATCTGGCTTACACGAGTGCCAGTCAGCCTGTGAAGCATGACAGAGGCAAGCAATTTGGAGGCGATGGAGATCAGACTGATTCTTCTATGGTTACCGCATTCCGATCGCGAGCCTCCTTTGAAAATTAGGACTGTGACGGAGCGGGTCCAGTCGGTTGGGACAGTTTCCTGCTCCCACAGTTTCACTAGTAACTCGTATAAATCATCCACAAGAGCATGTCCCCCGACTTTGAAGTGGGCTGGAAAAAGATCATCTGATCCAGCTGCTTTGTTCAACTTCTACAGTCCGATCTCACGTTCGACTTCTGAGCGAGAGGGTAGATCCAAAGGGACAGCCCAGGGAGCGGGACGATCAGTGGCCGGCGAGAAATCTAACAATTCCGACCGATTAAATTGCCTTCCAAAGTTCTCAGCCCAACGCTCCAAGTGTTTTGACACGTTGTGGATAGGTTGTCAACTCTCGTCACGTATAGTTTCACTAACACCAGGTCTCCTGCTGCCCGTTTCCTGTCTCAGACGGAATAACTTTCAATGGTTACCAAGGGCAGCGTCCATTTCAATCTCTGAAGCATGATGAGACCACCAGGATTCGCGGTCTCTTTTCAGGCTAGCACGGAGTTTTGTCCGGAGCTTTTTGCGAATTTCTTTGTGTTCGCATCCACTCGGAATATGCCGGCGAGCATCGATAAGTTCCAGAGACTGCGAATAGACCCAATGTCCCACGTTAGTTTGACCATTGCACGATTTTACCCAATCAACATTGTAGCATGCACGAAGAGGCTGAAGTTAGAGGATTCGCGCCGATTAATACGTCATCGGCGTACTTTAGCATTATGTCTTTTTTAGGGACAGGGATGGAACCACCGTAGGTAGAGAATACGAATGGTGACAAAAGAGCTCCTTGAAGGACACCGCAAGTAGCGATAAGTGGCTAGAAGCTCCTGCCGTTGAACCTGGTTATCTGAGTTGGTTTGGCTAAGTAATCCTATAGCAAGAAGACTATGGATATTTGGATACCAGAAACCAAGAGATCTTGAACATGATTTCACGTTTAGCACAATCGAAATCGTTGAATTAGTCAAGGAAACACACACGTGTGGCTTTGTTCTTGCTGTCTAGCGACGATAGCACTATGTGCACTAGACAAGCCACTGTGTCTTGTATCGACATCGAACTTCGGTATGCAAATTGATGTGCGTCATTCAGACAGGATTGGGTTAGCAATTTTTCAAGAACGAATTTCTCGAAGACATTTAAATCCACTGAAGTGCACGCAATAGGTCGATATATACCTGTCGCTTTCTGCAGTATTGTTGTTATGCTACCAGCTCTCCAACAGTCTGCAATCTCGCCTTAGTTTAGGCACATGGTGTACAACTCAGCTATCGGTTGGGTTAGTGCATCTGCATACTTCTTAGGGACGAAGGGAGACAACTGGCCAGGTCCGCTTGATTTGCTTGAATTTAGCTTCCTGTGAAATGCTGCAACCTCAACAACTGGTGATGAATCTGTAAGCCACCGGATCTGTGCAGATGACGAGTTGGGGAGTGAGTCATTGCTGGAGCAGCAGCAGTTGCGATTTAATGCTTCTATGTCTATGACGGACAACTCCACTAAATTGTTTCCTCTTTTGCCAAATCTCATGGCAATTATTGTTCCTCAGAATTGTCTTGACGTAGACATGATTTAGGTGGTGAATTTCTTCTCTGATGCGTAGAAAAAGAACTCTACTGAGGCACGATCTTTAACTTTGAAGGCTCTTTCCTTAAGTCGACGCAACTGCTTGAGGAGTAGTGAGAAGAACCGATCAGCACGAATGAGAACAGTTTCCATCGAACCGCAGTGATCAAAACAGCAATTCACATAACTTGTTGTCAGGTCACAATATATCGAGATAACTGCATTGTAAAACAAACTGAAATCTCCAGAGGCAACCATTTCTTTCAGTTGTGCTATGTTTGCGGGATTGGCTTGTCACCGTTTAATTTTACGTTTCTTGCAGCGAGTGACTTCCTTTTGGTACGTCTTACTGTAGATGACAGGAGATGGCTTGACTATCGAATGATCAGTGCTTCCAAGTGGTGCCCGCGTATTGATTGCAAATATCTTCAGTTTGTTAGCAAGCACTAAGTCCTGGGTCGTTTGCAACGTGGTGGGGCGTTTCACGATGTTCTGTAGTCCAGGTGTTGTGAGAAATGTGGGGTCAAACCTATTGAGATCAACAGCAAATATGCATAGGGAATGGTCGATGTGTACAATGACAGCAGCCGTGAAGTCATCGTAAAATCTGTCTGCTTCTGAGCTTGGACAACTGTTGGCTAGCAAAATTGAGTTGTATCCACTCAGATATTTGGTGAGCACTTTAGAACTAGGAAGTCGATACGTTTAAACCAATAGCAGAACATTTGCTTCACTGATGTGTACCAGGAATCGTTAATAAAGGTGATAACACCACCACCACCACCTCGGTTGCGGAACGTGCATGGTCGATCAGCGCAGTGGAACATAAAACCGTGAGCTGCTACCATAGCGTCTCCAACCTTTTTGTGAAGACAGGTTTCCTGTTGTATAATTACTCCTAGCATCGCGCATTCGCGATAGCAGGTTGCTTTTAAGGTCTTCAATTTTCCCAAGAAGTGAGCGGACGGAGGTGCTGAGAAAAACAGGTATGCTCATACTCGACATATTTTTCTTTCACAGTGCAGCCCTTCATCCAGCACAATGCACTTTTGCAAATTTAGTACGTGTTTTGTAGATTTTTCACTTTGCTTCAGATAAATTGAATGTGCAGAAATACATAACGATTTCAAAATTTCACGAGTGTAAACAATCAGGACATTAATCAGAGGTAGAGCAGTAGGACAGTAAAACAATAGGTTTATACATGGTACCGTTGAAGGTGTTAGTTTTGGTATTTCCTATTAAGGACCGTAGAGCACGTCCAAATTCGAAAGATTGTTCTCTACGGAGCGACCTGATGGAAACATTCAAGATTATGGGCCTCAGCGGGATCAAACCTTCCGATTTGTTTGATTTTGCTGCATCCGACCACCTACGCGGCATAAACTTAATATTAAGCATCATAGATCCAGGCAGGAGAGTAGGGCCAAGTTCTTTGCAAATCGTCTTGTCCCTAATTGGGACAAACTTCCTTCTTCCTTAATTGAAAATGCCACTGTAACATCTTTAAAAAAGGCCTGGAATAGTGTTGGCCAGATTTTTTTCTAGAATTCTTGTGCATTTATTGACAATTTTCAGAAGGCTTGAGGTTCTGGATCCAAGAAAGTACTGAGCTTGTTGTTGTTTTTCTTCGATTTTTTGCAGAGACAAGGAAGACGACACAGAAGTCAAAGTACTAGGGGCCCTGGTTTGCTTTCTGTTACAAGTGACAGGTCCTTCGTTGGGTGGGTCTATTTTCCTCCTCGAAAACTGAACTGATCTCGAACATTGTGTGCAACCGGTCCGCGGGCGTCACTAACAACCCACTTAGCACAGTGGCACGATTAGATATGCAGCTTTATGCCCTCACAGTGCCATTATTTTATTTTCATAATTGTCTATGTTTATAATTTCTAATTTAACAGCATATGAGTTATGTAGACTTAACTTTAACTTTCTCCGGGACTCTTTCCTTCCTTCTTCCGTGCTTCCTTCGCTGAATTCTTTAGATCGGCCTCTTACTAGACAATTGTGATATGAGCACCAGCCGTCTACGAGGTATCTATTTTGTGTTGTAACTCTAAAGCTTTACTACGGCCCATCGTACTATTTGGACACAGAAGAGCCTGGGACGCCGGACCGTAGAAATACTACATTATGTAGATAATGACCGAAACTGTTTTTGGCACGCGTCAGAAATTAAATCTTTGCATTGACGGCACTCTGTCTCGTTTACTTTTCAGAACGCCTTTTGTGCTTATTTACTAGAGGAAAACTCGAACACGAGGACAGTGGTTAACCAGGCTACGTGTTGTGTAACAGAAGTTATTTCTCAACCCTTGGAGTTCTTCCTTGCTTTCATGCTCCAATTAATTGTGGTAGGTCCGGACATTAATGTCCATAGAAAGATCGTTAAACATCGATTAGACGATCATTACTGCTTCCACTTCTTTTTACTTACTTGTTTTTCCTACAGCCTCCACACGTGCTTTTTCACCATCCATTTAGCTCAGACTCGATCTCCACAGCAGCTGTGATAACTGCATCCAGCTCGTCACGAGACGTTAACCAGTCGCACGTTTCATCTAGTGTGGTCTCTCACTTGCCGATTGTGATATGAGCACGCATCCACCTACGAAGTATCTGTTTTCATTGCATCCCCCCTAGGTATCTTACGACCTACGTACGCATCAGACACGGAATCTCTCGGAATCCTCGACCAGACACATAACACATTTGGCGACTTGCCAGTTCCCAACAACAGTCCACGAAGTTGCATCTTTGCTCTTGAGTCTATAATTAACTTACCTATGACCACACTGTTTGTCGCGGGTTCTTCCGTACCTAACACACCGCACTCAACAGTTGTATTACACATCAGCAGATCGAAACCGACTAGCTTCCGCAGACGCTGAGGACAACGCCTGCCAACAGGGGTGGATAATGTAGCAGGTCCGAGCGTTACCGTATAGTGATCCATAAGGTAAGCAAGTCGCACCTTGGTTGGATGGCAGCTGATGCTTCTTCTTCTCTTTCACGTTCCGTTTTGTATAACTTCTTACCAGCGGGTTGTGATGTAAGTATCCGGCCATCTATGAGGTATTTCTTTTCATTGCAGCTCCCTAGGTCTGTTATGATCTACGTTCACATCAGACACGGAAGCCTTCGGAATCCTCGACTGGACCGATAGTATACACATTACCGCTTCTTGTTATCGAATTGTTCGCCATGTCAAAGCAGAAGGAGGACGTATTACTAATGGTAAAACACGTTCGATATAAAAAGGTTGATGGGACCCTCTACGTCAACTCGGGTCGCATCGCTTGGCGCAACCAAACGTCTGATAGCTTCAAAATCAGTGCCGCCTTTGAGGATGTTAGAGTGCAACGTATCAGTCCCGATCAGAAGGAGAAAGTTCAACTTCAATTACTTATGCACAGTGGCGAGTCATTCACTTTTCATTTCGCTGACCCTGGCGGTCGTGGAAAGCAGCTGGAAATGCGTAACAGTGTTAAAGAGATGTTACAGAGTCTGTTACCCAAATTCAAAGATAAGGTGAGTCCTCTGCCCATTGATCTGTGCTGAATCGTATGTTTCACACCTTACCGTTGTAACATGCTCTAGGACTTGATCTCTACTTCTACGCAGGAGCACTTTAGTTTGCATGTGATCTTTGCGGTTTGCCTCCAATCATCATACTTTATACCCTTATATCCTTATTGATAACGTGGTTTGATGAGCTTCTCACATAAATCACCTGTAAGTCGTGTGCTCGTGTCCAAGTTTGTGTTCAGGACTTATCCAACATTGGTTCAAATCTTCGAACCAAGACTGGTTTAACAACCGTTGTTTTACTTTTGGAGTCAGTGCTTACTTTACAAAGCAACTATGGATAATGTATAAATAGGCACAGTTAAATTCCATATTCGCTTGTATTCATCTTCATCGTATGAATAGCAATCGCAAGTCAAGTCAGATCTAGTTCCGATGACAATACAGGTTTCCACTTAACGAGTCCTGCTTTTTGTATCGGCAAGCGAACCAGGGTCCTCGGCACTTTGCAATTCGATTGACTCTCCCTGCTTCCACAAGTGGTTGTAGCGTTCGTACATTTCTTCTCTACACTTGTACTTTTTTCTTATTCGCTTCATTATTGTACAGCTTGTTTTAACTAACTCGAACAGTACATTCTTTTTCGAATCTCGTTCTGCGTTGTCGCTCCTGGCTGCTTCATACTTCTTTGTATTTGATAGACACGGTGATCTTCGCTCAAGCGGCTAGGATCCAGTTTGTCACGCTCTCGATTCGCCTACGACTCACTCCCGGGAAAAGTTTCTCTCGACTCGTTATCTCATAGGTTGTCCAGACTTGAACTCCAAATTTCAAGCGTTTGACCCTCTCGCAGTAGAAGTCGCAGACCAGTATCTCGAAACAGACGCACTTTCTCTCGGAACTCGATATGTCCCACTGTTACTACCATCGCCGTCTTGGTAACGCAGCTAGGCATTGTCACTCTGGTTGCACTCACCCTAAAGAATCCAACACACTGCAGCCAGCTGGTAATGGCGACGGCTGCAGCTGACCAACCGTCTAGTCGCCTACTTTTCGTCCGCGACTCCACAACCAACCTTTCCTTCCTGGTTAACACCGGTGCTGGGGTAAGCGTTCTGTCTCAAAGAACGAAAGAACCTACCTACTCCCTACCGGAATTACGCTTCAGGCCGCTAACAGTAACAAGATCAACACGTTCGGCCAAAAGCTGCTGACCCTTGATCTCGGACTCTGGCGATCTTTTCCTTTCATTTTTCTCATCGCAGACGTTCGAAGTTCCATCATTGGCGTCGTCTTTCTTACGAAGTATGACCTGATTTAGACCTACGCTGCAGGAAGCTCCGTGACATTGTCACATATCTCACCGTCCCGGGTAAAGCTCCATAAGCTCAATCGGCCTCCGGATGTCGCTTCCCACTGATAACGTATTCAGTGAGTTGCTTCATCAATTTCCTGCTTTATATCAGTCATCCGATACATTTTAACATCCGAAGCACCACATTGTGTACCGGACCTCCGGTTGCTGCTTGATCTCGACAGTTACCACCCGACAAACTCGTGACAGCTAAAGCTGAATTCCAACATATGCTCAGCATCGGCATCATCCGATCGTCCAATAGCTCATCGTCTTCTACGTTGCACATGGTCCCTAAGAAGTCAAGCGGGGACTGGCGACCATGTGGTGATTACCGTGCTCTGAACAGTGCTACTGTCCCAGACAAATATCCAATTTCCCACATTCATGACTCCGTCGCTTTGCACGGCAAGTCTATTTTCGCTAAACTAGCCATTATCCGCGCGGACTACCAGATTCCTCTTGCCCCTGAAGATATTTCCAACATTAACATAACCACGCCTTTTGGCCTTTACGAATTCCTCCGCATGCCTTTTGGTTTGCGAAACGCTGCGCAGACTTTCCAGCGGTTCCTCGACCAAGTCCTTAGAGGTCTTAACTTCGTTTTCCTTTATATCCTTGTGACTAGTTTAGATTGCGAAGAACACCTCTCTCACCTTCACTTAATCTTCAAGCTCTTTGCCAAGCACGGCGTCAAAATTAAGATTGACAAATGCCTCTTTAGTCCCTCGCGCATTGGTTTCCTGGGCCATCGAAAAGACCGCGACGGCATCACTCCATCTCCAAAAACACGCAAGCTATTGTTGACTATCCCATACTTCAATCACTCAGAAGTCTGCGCCGTTTTCTTGGAATGGTTAACTATTATAGCTGTTTCATTCCTGATTGCTCCAGGCTTCTCCAGCCTTTGACTGACTTGCTTAAGAGCAAGTGTCTTAGGTTCGACAACAACAAGGAAACACTATCCAGTAGTACCGCGCTTAGTCATCTGAATACCGACATAGGAGCTTCCCTGATTCTCAAAACCAGCACGTCGCAGATTGCCGTTAAGGCCGTACTGCACCAAGCAATAAAATGTCAGCCCGAGTATTTATTTTACTTTTTTCATAAATGGCAGCTCGCCCGAACGAGTTATAGTACATTCGACCGCGAACTCTTAATTATTTTTCTGGCCTTCGAACATTTCCGATATCCTGAAGGTCGTCCGTTTGCCGTTCTTACTGAACATAAACGACCCGTATTGCTTTTCGCGGATCACGTGACCTTTTTCCGCCGCGCGAAACTCGTCCTCTTGGTTACATCTCGCAGTCCACTACTGATATTCGGCATGCAGATGCAGCCAATAACGTCGTCGCCGACGCGATGTCCCGTTTTGACCTCCACCAAGTTTCACGTCAGCCAATTAATCTCTGAGACATCGCCGCTCATTAACAATAAGCTCCCGAGTTCCAGCAGCTCAGATTGCATTCATCTATCCAGCTGTCTCTCCTGCCTCTCAACTCGTGTTCCAGAATTTCCGATGATCTGTTTACTGGCAAACCTCGACCTTTCATCCCGCAGCAATATCGACGAACTTTTTTTGGTCATTTGCACGGCATTTCACACCCGAGTATGTGCGCCACTACGAAGCTGATTACTGATTGTTGCATCTGGCAAAACATGCGCTCGATTATCCGACAGTGAGCGAAACGCTGCATCCCCTACCAGAATAGCAAGATCCAGCGCCACATCACTACCGTGCCCGGCACTTTCTCGTTGCCAAATGCCCGCTTCATACATGCCCATCTCAACATTGTTGGACCTGTTCCTCCATCCAACGATTTTATCTTGCACTGACATGTGTTGATCGATTCACTCACTGGCCTCACGCAGTGCCACTGTGGGATATTTCAGCCGAAACAGTCGCCGTAACCTCCATCGAAACCTGGATACCCGTGTTTGGTACGTCTGCCACTGTCACTACGGATAGAGGTCCTCAGTTCAGCTCTGCTTTGTTCCGTGATCGCAATCACATGCTCGGTTGTTCGCACCTACGCATAACAGCTTACCACTCCGCTGCTAGGGGGCTAGTAGAACGCTTCCATCGACAGCTTAAGACTACGCTTACTGCAACGCAATCCAAAGCTCAAGGGTCCGGACGTCTACCGATCATGCTGATTGATATTCGTAACACTGTAAAAGAAGACATCGGTTGTTGTCTAGCTGAACCAGTCTTCGGCGCATTACTTAGACTTCCTGATGAACTCGCACCGGATTTAAAGCTCACCGTATGTTGCACGCTTGAAGCAACACTTTACTGCCGTTCGTCCAAATCCACCTCGACCTAACTCTCGAAGTCAATGCATTCACCCCTATTTGCGCGCCTGTCTTTGGCTTCGCGCAAGTCGACACCGTCTGTAGACCATTAACACCGCCTTATGAAGGTCCCTTCAAAGTTTTAGCTGGTAAGGAGAAATACTTCGTGTTGGACAAGATTGGTTTCCAAGATTCTGTTAGCATTGATCATCTGAAGCCTTTCTATGTCGAACTGCAATCGCCTCTGCATTCTGCTGGCACTTGTGTTCCTGAACAGACTCCTATACAAAGCACCCCTCCCACTAAGCCGATGTGCGATCCCAGTGTTTCTTCCTCACCCCCGTCCACACTTGCGCAAACCCCGATACCCCTGAGCGTATACGCTCCGGAAGTACAGTCGTTTTTCCTTCTTAATTTGTGACTTACGTAAGCTAGCGCCTATCCAGCGTTCGTTCCTTCTACTCACGCTCTGGGGTGGAGTTTTATAGCGTTTGTACATTCCTTTACAATTGTACTTTCTTATTACTCGCTTCATTATTTTACAGCTTGTTTTAACTAACTCGCTCAGTACATTCTTCGAATCTCGTTCTGCCTTGTCGCTCCGGTCTGCTGCGTGCGCCTGCGTTGTATTTGATCGACACGGTGCTTTTCGCTCATGCGACTAGGAACTATCATACTGCTCGCGCTACGCTATACGCCGGATATTACCACTAAATTGGGAATCATTCGAAGACGAAAGTTTACTGTGAATCAGCATGTTTTTGCCAAAGCAGGCTGAGTTCTATTTTTCGTGTGATAACTCGTCCGCTACAAGGTGAAGCAAGAACACTTGTAATCTTGGCACTTTCATGGACCAACCTCAGATTTCACAACACGGGGTATTGCCGATACATATTCCAAAACATTCACAGTCGTTCCTAAAAAGGATCTGTTCGACGTCTGCCTGTCCATTATCTCAATTAAGGTTTGTTCCTGCCACTTACGACACTGTAAAGAGATTTCGCTCTGGTATCGTGCCTAGCCCTCGGTTGATTGAGCTCCAAACGATGTCCGCGTAGGTGATCTGACGCAGCTTACTCAAACAGACCGGTAGGCTTGATACCACTGAGGATCTTCATTATTTATCAACCTACGCAGTGCCAATAAAATCAATCCTAACCTCTTCGGACCAGCTTCATGCGACTTCCTACGCTAACCGTCAATCTTCCTGGTAGCCAGTTTCTAAATATTTTCTACACGACTAACGTCCCTGTAGGGATACGGCGCTTAGGCTTGACCACAGTACTTCAGATGTGGCCCAGTCACAATTTTATATAATAGCAGGAAAACTTCTAGTTTGGTGTTATACGACGCC